ACATCACACGCATACACATGCACAGGTAATCCAACATATATCACATACATGCACAGGTGATCTGAGATACCTCACACACACCCACACAGGTGATCTGACACACATCACACTTGCACAGGTAATCCAACATACATCACACACATGCACACGTGATCTGAGATACATCACACACATGCACACACAAGTGATCCAATATACATCACACACACACACAAGAGGAAACTAAAAAAAAAGATCTCAATCTATTCCGGGTCACATGTATGATTGTCACTGGACAGTTCTTCACGGCTCACCTGTTGATATAGCTGCCAAAGGGAGATGTACTTCCCCTAAAAGTCATACACACCATGGAACGGAGGAGGCCAAATGGGCGCCCCTAAGTCCCAGCCTCAGCCAAGGTCTGTCCGCTCCGTCACTGTGAGGAGAGGGCGGTTGTCCTTCCTCCATCCCAGCTCCTGTCCCTGGACCCAGACCAGACCCAGCACCCGCAACTCTGCAAACCAGTCCCCGCCAGCGCCCTGGGAACATGGGTGGCGTCAGCTGGCAAAGCCACTGGCCTCCTCTGGTGTGTGACAGTGAACTCGAGGGTGCCGGGGGAGGGTCCCCGAGTGCTTCATCAGACGTCTCCTAATTTGACCAGTTCCACAGCAAAACGCCTGATTCCATGTCATCTGTCATCAGGGTGGCCTGGGTGTGCTGAGCAGGGTGTGGGTCCTCCACCCCTCTGTCCCACCCCCCATCTCATTCAGCAAGACAGGCACCAGGACCCCACAGGACGTCTCTCTGATCACAGGCCCAAGACTGAAGAACACGTTAGGTCAGAGGACGGGATCTCTCCACGCTCAGCTGTTGTCCCACAAAGTCCTTAGACCCTGGGCGACTGCTCCTGCCGGTCTGTGGTGACCACCACTGGCCACAGCCAAACCAACAACAGCAACAGCACACGGGGGAAACTGGGGAAACACACAGGCAACCAGTTCTAATTTAAGAACTTTGTCATGGACATGTTTACGAGTGATTAGGATTTTGTTATCATTTATAACACCCCCTGTTGCAGAAACCAAACTAAATTAGGCACAGGAAGCTCTGCAGGAGAGGGCTGGTGGGAAGCACTCACATTGCATACAGATGGCGCTCCGTCCCGCTCTGTCACCAACTGCATCCTCAGAGCCCTGCCAGGAAGGCCCAGCCTCGTTCTGTTAAGTAGATGTAACCTTCCCTAACTTCAGAGCAGATGGAAACCAGAGGACAGAGCACAGGCCTGGGAGTGAGCTGTGGCGGAAATGGACGCACATGCACACAGATGCACAAACATGCGCGCACACACACGTGCAGACACGCACACACGGCCCACAGAAATGGCTGACATTAGCACTGATTTACAAGACACATCCATGTCTGTTCTCTTATTTGATTATACAATAAAAACAACTCATCGAGCAGCACGAGAGCCGTGGTTTGCTGGTCTGAAGCTGGGGCCACACACAGCCTGGGGCCCCCGGGGAAGCAGGGGAGACCCTGACTGGCCCAGCCAGGATGCGGCTATCCCTGCACAAGCTCCGTGTGCGGCACGCTGGGCGGCCCCCGTGTGAGTGGCGAGTGGCGGAGCTCAGAGTCCGCTGGGGCAGTGGGAGGGCGGCCAGGCCACCGCACCATGCAGCCTGGGGGTGAGGGGGGCCCCCGAGAGGGTGTGGTGCACCCACCAAGCAGTGGAGCCCTGCAGAGTTAGGAAGATTCGTGTTTGGTCACACACCCACCTGTATTTCAGTGGAGGAGACTGAGCAGGCAAAGATGGAGGTGGGTGGGCAGCCAGACAGGAAGGGCCATCCCAACCAGAGAGACCCCTGGGGGACAGAGGTGGCAGGACCTTAGGAGTGGCCAGCTGGGGGGTGAGGCCCCCTGCAGGAAGGCAGGAGGAGGAGCAGCAGAGGCCCCGAGCTGGGGCTGCCACTGCGCTCAGGCGAGGTGGGGCAGGCACACGGCTGGGCTTGGGGCAGATTGAGCTGGGGTGTCAGTGCGCGATAGTCACTGGAAACCGGCCAGGGTGACACCACCCAGAGAGCAGGTGCCCAGCAGGAGGGCAGGGGCTGGCGGGAAGCCCAGGGGACACACGTGTGAGGGCAGAGAGCTCAGGGAGGAATCTGAGGGCGGTGGAGAGAGGGCAGAGGACACTGTGGCCCATCGAGCAGCCCTGCCGCCAGGAAAGTGGCAGCAAGGAGAGAGCACAGGACACGGCAGGGCCCGCCAGGCCATCGAGGGCTACACCCCAGCCCCGCTGTGGGAGGGGCAGGGCTGCCCGGCGTGGGGAGGACCAGGCTGTGGGAGGGGAGGCCCCAGAGCAGGTCAGCTCCCTCAAAGCCCTGCAGTGGGGGCCGTGGGCAGTGGCCCCCATGCAGGTGGGTCTGTCCCAACACCCAGGACTCCCCTTTGCGTCCCCACTTGGAGAGGGGCCGTGTTGCCAGATCGTGGAAAACAAAAACCAAGTTCTGGCCCTAGGAACGTGACCTTCCCATTGAAACCCCAAACACCGCAGAGGAGTATGAGAAGCCACTCCGATGAGGAGATTGGACTTGGGTGCGAACCCTTCACTGGATGAAGAGTCCACTGTTTGCTGGGAGGATTCCACCCGGCAAGATGGGAAGGGCGTTATGCGCCCCCTGCCCTCCCTGAGACCCGAGATGTGAGGCGTGTTCAAGGACAGGACGGTGGTGGGGAGAGGCCCGAGGAGGACAGGGGCCTGCACGCCTGGGGACGTGAGCTCCCTCCTCCACCTTAACAGAACGATTAGTTAACGATTCATGTCATCAGCTGAAGGATGTAGGAAGCATCTAGCATTATGGTCCTCAACCCCCGGGCCAAGGACTGGAACCAGTCCATGGCCTGTTAGAGATTGGGCCACACAGCAGGAGGTGAGCGGCGGGTGAGCCAGAGAAGCTTCATCTGTGTTTACAGCCGCTCCCATCGCTGGCATCACTGCCTGAGCGCCACCTCCTGTCAGATCAGCAGAGGCATTAAGTTCTCATAGGAGCGCGAACCCTACTGTAAACTGCGCATGGAGGGATCTGGGTTGTGCTCCTTGTGCGAATCTGCTGCCTGACGATCTGAGGTGGAGCTGAGGCGGTGATGCTGGTGCTGGCGAGCGGCTGCCAATACAGACCATCATTAGCAGAGAGGTTTGACTGCACAATAAATGTGATGCACTTGAATCATCCCCAAACCATCCCCACCCTGGTTCCACGGAAAAATTGTCTTCCATGAAACTGGTCCCCGGTGCTGGAAAGGTTGGGGACTGCCGGGCTAGCACACATCCTGCTGCCGTGAATAAGTTATAACCTGAGAATGATTTGAGAGCATTTGGCTTTCGGCTTGTCTCTAAGTCGCACGGCCAAATGTGAACATGATTTAGGGTTGTGGCTGACACTTGGGCGTGTTGCCAGCCAGGCGCTGAGCCCTGGAGAAGTGCGGGACCCGGTCCCTGCCAGGGGGGCTCGAGAAACCAGGCACAGCTACTGAAGATCAGATGCAACGTGGGCAGGTCCTGACGGAGACACCCTGAGCCCTGAGCCTGGGACCAGCAAGTCTTGCCAGCTGGTTAATCCCAGGGGGCTGCGCTGCCCCCAGAGGGTAATTCGGTAGGTCAGGGGTGGGGCGTTTCCAGCAAGTTCCCACATGATGCTGATACAGCCAGTGCAAGAAGCAAACTTGGAGAAGCGCTGAGGTTTCTGGTGCAGGAAGGTGGGCGGGGCTGGCCCTCAGAGCGGGCCGGGCTGGAGTGCTGCAGTCCCGGGTCTGCACCTCAGCTTGGCCCCCAAAGCGAGTTGCTGATCTCCTGTGCCCCAGTTTTCTCATCTGCAAAACCAGAATCCTATCCTAAGGGATTTCGTGAGATAATGTACGTAAGTAAATCCCCTCCGGCAGCTTCCCCTGCCGTGACTCGGTGCTGTGCCACCCTGCCCCGCCCCAAACAGGGAGCGTCCGGCACCGTGGTCTGCAGTGAGGGCCCCGGAGCCCAGCTCAGTCCTCCCTCGTCCTCTGGGTGGCCTCTGTGTGTGTCCTTACCCACAAAGTGGGGACGACAACAGGGCCCCTCTCATTGTGAGAACATGGGAACCACTCCAGACAGGGCCCGGCACAGAGCAGGTGGATGTGTTGGCCTCGGCAAGTATTTAGTTCATTAAACACGAAATGTCCGATTTCGAATCAAAAATTTAGCTTAGTATATCTCAAACAAGCAGCAGTACAATTAATCAAAGTAGACACCTAAACTATCGACACAGTTTTGCCACCTTAGGTAGCTGATTTATGCCAGCAGCAAAGAAGCCTGGAGAGTCAGTGGTGATGAAATCATGAAAGGCGTTTCCACAGCTTGTTGAGAACTGAATACTTTTCCTTGCAAGAAGTGGTCCAAAGCCTGGAAGAAGTGGCAGTCAGTGGTGCAAGGTCTGGGGAATACAGTGGACGACAGAGAGTTTCCAAGTCCAGCCTCTGTAGTTTGAGCAGCGTTGTTTGTGTGACATGAGGTTGAGCATTGTCTTGAAGGAGGATTGGCCTGTCTCTATTGACCAATCTCGGCTGCTTAATCGCAAGCGTCCTCATCATTTCATCCAATTGGTTGCAGTAGACATCCGCTGTAATTGATTGACCAGGTTTCATGAGGCTGTAGTGGATAATACCAGCGCTGGACCACCAGACAGACACCATTAGCTTTTTTAAATGAATATTGGTTTTGGACTG